CAGTGCAGAGATGAGACCCCGTTAAGTGAAAGTTGTGGTCGTTTTCCTATGCACCACATTGGAGAGAAGCTTCAGTGTAATGATCTCATCGCTTTCATGCTGAGAGGTAAACCGAATGGGTCCCTCCAGCTTCATCGTAGAAACTCTATGCTTGTTTGCTCCCTCAGCTTCAGCTTCCGTTGGGCTGGTCAGCAAATTCACGTCAAAGCTGGTACTGCAGTTCCGCCCAGATTGCATCTGGTGAGGCCTCTTTTTGAGCCTCTACAGATGCTTTCTTCGAGGCCGAACTTCTACTCCTAAACAATAATTTTAAAAAGGAAGAAAGGGTAAATAGTAGAGTCCGTCGAAACAGAAAAACGCAGGCGATTCGCTGGACCTCAACTACCTTGGAAGTATGCCACAACCATGGCGACGGCGGTTGGATGCAGATGTATTATGGTGTACTAGGAGGGTTAAGAACATAGGATATAGTACTGTTAAGAATCGAATGTTTATTGAGGTTTCGAAGGCGTTCATCCCTCCGTTCACCCCGCGGTTCCTACGGACCCTCCGGGCGCCCCCAAGGTTGCCGGGGCCTACGAACTACTGGTTCAGATACATAGGCATGGCAGTTACTGTGGATTTGAGCTTTGGTCTCGTTTGCAAAGCACTTGTTGCCTCCGTACTAGCACTAATGCAACTCTCCATGCTCATCGCTAGGTCGGTGCCAGCATGCCGTGCATTTTCGAGTCAGTTGCGCCAGCTACACTCGCAACTAAACGCTGTGTACTCTATGAGTTATAAACTTTGGAAACTCCACTTGGAGGAAGCATGGAGGCTCATTTCTTGGCGGGGCTGCGGTTCTCATCCTTGCAGCAGACAAAACAGGGTCGAGTCGGAGTGCACGGTTTCCACCATCCTCAGTGGCCGTTCCGGTAACATCATTGACCCCTGTGACGAGTTTAGATGTGGATAAAGCTTTAATTATTAATNAGTGGCCGTTCCGGTAACATCATTGACCCCTGTGACGAGTTTAGATGTGGATAAAGCTTTAATTATTAATAAGTATCAGTATTTAATGCGCATTCTTCTCCTGAAGGTGCAGGCGACATGCTTTGCACGGAAGCCAGAGGCTGTTGTTGCTCAGGCGGGTCCTCTTCGAGCTCTCCAGGACGATCGATCGAGACGCCCTGACGTACAGGCGGCATGCAGCACGTGTTGTCATTAGCTTTGGAAGGTCTATAAGGAAGAAAAGCTTGTTGTTTTTCTTAATTTTTAATTTTTAATTGGGAAGTACCAGGGAAGCCGACTTCTGTTGGCCAGCACCACGTCGAGTGACCGTTCCGAGGCGGGTGGTCCTGTGCCGGGCTTCGTGGATTCCGTTTTTTCAGTCTTTTCGCTCTTTATTTGTATTTTTCTGTTTAAAATACCCCTAGTCCAAGCGATAAAGCTTCAGACCTTCGGGTCTACCTCAAGTGAAGATGAGTCGGTTACGCTCCCGAGGCAGGACACGGAGGCCGNCTTCAGACCTTCGGGTCTACCTCAAGTGAAGATGAGTCGGTTACGCTCCCGAGGCAGGACACGGAGGCCGCATTTTTTGTTCGTCGGCCTCTCCCTATTTCTGTTGTCTTTCTTAGCAGGTGAGATGATTACATTCACTTACGTTGGGTCTATATGCTTTTAGTTTGGGGTTTCCAGTGGCAAAGCACCGGATGTGGGCTGTGTATATACGGAATCATCCCTCTGCTCTGTGTGGCATTTTCAGGAGCGTTCGCTGCACACCCCGATGGTGAGTGAGCAGACGGCTAGAGGCCTCTCTATTGCACTTCGTAGAGCTAACTGTGCACAGCTGCTTGACTGCCAAGGTTTCTTCTCCAAGGCGGCGGCGATTCTGCTAGCGAATTGCCTGCGTGGCGCCAAACACCGCCTAAGGATCAGACAGAAGTGACAACCTAGAGCCTGTTGACTTTTCCAGTTTATAGACAACGAACAAGGCCTGTAAGCAAGTTGGTAAATCGGTCGACTGCTCTGAGGTGTCTTGCAGACGGCGGCGCTGGTGAAGTTGAAACAGTCGAGCTGGAACAACCTGCAACAGTTGAGCAGGAACGGTCTCATGCTTCACCTTATTCTAGAGCCGCCACGGGTAAGCATACCTACTTACCCATTATTTCAGATGTGTTCTGTGCAGCATGGTTTTCGGGGTGTTGGGGTATGCTCGGGGTTTACCTTCATGCAAGCATTGGTCCTTTGAATGGTATGCGTACGAAGTGGACAGTTGGTCGCTAGGACGCAGCGATACCGTCATGGAGCTGTTTCGTGGAGTTGTATATTTTCAAGAACATGATTTTGATGTATGTGAGTGTGGAGTATTTGCGAGGACTTGATGTGTGGTGAACGGCGCGTTGTCTGTTGCAGCTGGACAGAGACCTGAGTCCCCGAGATTTTCTTCTTCACCGAGATCTCCGACCTCTGTGGCTTCACCGAGCAGAGGTTAGTCCTTACTTTGAAATGCGGAGAAATTAATTGCTAACAGCAGAGCAAGCTCTCCTATACTGCTGCATACGTGTCCTCTTTATGCTGTGGACTCGCCGTAGACGCAGCGGAGAGCTTCATTGCCCTTATTGCTGCTTTTGACACCTCCGCTGTTTTTGACCTATCTTCAGGTGGCACCCGAAGGACTTCTCCGTATGGGAGGATTTCTGGTAGTACGACGTCCCCAGCCACGGCTCGCCAAGCCGTCAGGCTCTTAAAAAGGCAACTAGGAGATGGGGATTCGGCAGTCCGTAAGCGATCGTTACTCTCGTTCACAAGTTATAGGACCAAGTCGTGGTTGTTCATGAAGAATGAAAAAGTGCAAGAGTACTTTTACGGTCTAGGAGTTTATATGGTTTAGGGTCCAGGTTCTGGTGACCTGCAGCCGGTTTGTGTGTTTTGTGTATCGTGTGACAACAGAAGTTCAGGTCTTGCAAGAATGGCTGGACGAAAGGCTCTTGGAGGGGCGTATTCCGCGTGAGGAATTGATGAAGGCGGTGATCGCGGTTACAGGGGGAGGCCACAAATTCGTGGACAGAACGGTCCCATCAACAAGGACAGACCTGCTAAGGAGAACTGCCACACAGCTG